GCCTTCCACTTTCCCCAGCATAATTGTCTTCTCTAGGCTTTGCTGTCTCCTCATGATGTGGCCAAAGTACTTCAACTTTGTCTCTAGTATCCTTCCCTCCAATGAGCAGTTGGGCTTCATTTCCTGGAGGATGGACTGGTTGGATCTTCTCGCAGTCCAAGGCACTCTCAGCACTTTCCTCCAACACCACAGCTCAAAAGCGTCTCTCTTCCTTCGCTCAGCCTTCCCTGAAGGTCCAGCTCTCACATCCGTAGGTGACTACAGGGAAGACCATGGCTTGGACTAGGCAATGGATCTTGGTTGCCAGTCTGATGTCTCTACTCTTGACTATTTTATCGAGACTGGACATTGCTCTCCTCCCAAGAAGGAAGCGTCTTCTGATTTCCTGGCCACAGTCTGCAAATCCATTGCAATAAGTAATTTATCTGAAAAGTGAACTAGATTATTATTAATAACAATATTATTAATAATAAAAATATGATGATTATTTTAATGCAAACGAATTCACCAAAAGACCATCAGCATCCAGAAAGGAAAAACAAAAGAACCAAGCTCCACAACTGAAGGGAGATGTTGACTCCAAGCTGCAATGTGTCCAGAGGAGGGCGACTAAAACGATCAAGGGTCTGGAGAACAAGCCATATGAGGAGCGGCTTAAAGAGCTGGGCATGTTGAGCCTGAAGAAGATAAGGCTGAGAGTAAAGTCGAACATGACCCCCCCCCCCCATTAGAGATAGTAACTTATAGTTTTGCTAAGGGCAAGGACACCAGACTGGATAATAAGGGTTAAGCCTTGGTCAATTTAGTGTGTATCATTTAATCAAGGCTTTATGTCCTATTTTCATATGTTTATAGCAGAAGGTAACCAATTTATTACTGAAAATCATGCCACAAAAGTATTTGAATTTTCCCACCTGAGACACACCTGGGCTCCTGATGGYCCCCCATCTCACAAGCAAGGGACTCTCTTTCCCCCTCATGGATAGATTTCCCTTTATGGACCTTCCTATGAATAATATGAACTATGGACACTGGGGGAGGGATGCCTGGATATGATTTTTCATCATGATTCCTATATTTCTATGTTTCCCTTCATGTATTTGACCTGGCCCTGACCCCTTTGCCCCCTTCCCCTCTCCTTGAGGGAAATGTATAAGGAAGTTGCCCTGCCTCTGAAAAAGCAATTAGCGATCCTGAAAAAACCCTTATCTTAGGACCTTTCTTGCATGGAAAATAACAAAGAAATGTCTTTCTTGACTTCGGAGTCAGGCCATCAAGAGGATATTCACTTGGCAGACTTTTTAATCATATAACAATGGGGGAAAGATGACCTTCGGAAAGCCCCTTTTCCTCCAAACCCGTTTTTCTTTCAAACCTTTCCACTGAAAACATTCACCAAAGTCTTCCCCTTTGTGCCCTATCTGATCACAAGAAAAAAAAACCAGATTAAGTGATCAATGTTTATCTCAGACCAATCACAAGACAACAAGACTAGCTTTTCTGGCAGGCCAATTCTGGACTTGTTAAGCCCCCTGGACATTAAACTCCATAATCCACTCAAGAATGCATTGTATTCCTTCGTCCCACCCCCCTCCCTTTTGATTTGCTGGAGTGCAGAGGCGGCAGGAGCCTCCTGATTGGCTCTGGCGCACCGCGGAAGCCCTGTGATTGGCCCTGACGCACGGGGAACGGCCAAGCCTCCTCCCAGCTGTTTGCACATCAGCCAATCCCCTTCGAGCTGGGCGAGAGGGGGGAGCGGGAGATTTGAACCACATAACTCTGTATTTTCTATAAAAATTGCATTTTTCTGTGTAACTTCATGCTTAGCTTGGCGAATGATTGCCGCTTTGCATCCTTTTCAGCTGAATTGCTAATAAACCTCAGTGGCAACTTTCTTCAACTTTGGTGAGATTCTTTTTGGGCACTTAGGGAAAATAAATTGCTTAAAATTAGGCTTCTCTTTGCTCACCAATGTAGCGATCCCTCTTTGGTGGGGCCGCAGGGTCTCTCCTCCTGGGGTAGACCCTTCTAAAGTTCCTATCGACTTCAATCTCTTGGGGGTGCTTTGAATGCAATTTCACAGAATGGGGTTGGACTGGATGGCCCACGAGGTCTCGTCCAACTCTGGGATGCTATGATTCTATCATTCATAATAGAGTCTCGCTTATCCAACCTTCGCTCATCCAATGTTCTGTATTATCCAACACAGACTGCCTTCTGCCTGGATCTTTTAAATACTAGTTTTTAAATACTAGTTGCCAGATTATGTTCATTTTCATGGTTTCTTCCATTCTGCTGAAACTGTCCACATGCTTCTTGTGGATTTCAATGGCTTCTCTGTATAGCCTGACATGGCGGTTGTTAGAATGGTCCAAAATCATAACAGTAAATAATGAACAGCATTCAAAAACAGGGGAATTCTAGACTAGAAACAATCAGAGCCAACCAATCACCTCCCAACAAAGGATTCCACCAGGCAGGAAGAAGCCACCCCTTAAAACTGTTAGCCCATTAAATGCTAATCAAGGTGGCCAAGTGAAACATTCACACCTAACTCAAGCAGACAAGAGTTCTTTCTTTCTCCCACCCTGGACATCTATGCTGTTGAACACAGCAGCCCCACCCCTTTTTCATGCCAGGAGTGACTTGAGAAACTGCAAGTTGCTTCTGGTGTGAGATTTATTTATCGTGTCAGGAGCAAACCAAACAGTTGTATTGCATTTTTAAACAAACAAACAAACAAACAAAACACAAAGTTTGCAAGCTTGGTAGTTAATTAAGTGTCCTTTGACCAGTCTCTGGCCCCTTGGAGTGCCTCTGGTGTTGCCGCAAGAAGGTCCTCCATCGTGCATCATGTGGCAGGGCTCAGGTTGCATTGCAGCAGATGGTCAGTGGTTTGCTCTTCTCCACACTCGCATGCCGTGGATTCCACTTTGTGGCCCCATTTCTTAAGCTTGGCTCTGCATCTCGTAGTGCCAGAGTGCAGCCTGTTCAGCGCCTTCCAAGTCTCCCAGTTTTCCGTGTGCCCAGGGGGGGGAGTCTCTCATTTGGTATCACCCATTGGTTGAGGTTCTGGGTTTGAGCCTGCCACTTTTGGACTCTCGCTTGCTGAGGTGTTCTAGCAAGTGTCTCTGTAGATCTTAGAAAACTATTTCTAGATTTAAGTCGTTGGAGTGCTGGCTGATACCCAAACAGGGGATGAGCTGGAGATGTCTCTGCCTTGCTGCTTTCACTATTGGCTGCTCCTTCCCGGCGGATGTCAGGTAGTGCAATACTGGCTAAGCAGTGTAATTTCTCCAGTGGTGTCGGGCGCAGACACCCCGTGATAAAGCGGCATTTCTCATTAAGAGCCACATCCACTGTTTTAGTGTGGTGAGATGTGTTCCACACTGGGCATGCGTACTCAGCAGCAGAGTAGCATAGCGCAAGGGCAGATGTCTTCATTGTGTCTGGTTGTGATCCCCAGGTTGTGCCAGTCAGCTTTCGTATGATATTATTTCTAGCACCCACTTTTTGCTTGATGTTCAGGAAGTGCTCCTTGTACATGAGACCATGGTCCAAAGTGACTCCCAGGTATTTGGGTGCGCTGCAATGCTCCAGTGGGATTCCTTCCCAGGTAGTAATCCTCAGAGCGCGGGATGCTTGTCTGTTCTTCAGATGAAAGACACATGTCTGTGTTTTAGATGGATTAGGGATCAGCTGGTTTTCCCTGTAATAGACAGTGAGAGCACCTAGAGCTTCGGAGAGCTTCTGTTCAACCATCTCAAATCTCCCTGCTTGAGTGGTAATGGCACGATCATCAGCATAGATGGAACTCTCTGTCCCTTCTGGCAGTGGCTGGTCATTTGTGTAGATGTTGAACATGGATGGAGCAAGCACACTCCCCTGAGGCAAGCTGTTCTTCTGTTTCCGCCATCTGCTTCTCTGGCCCTGGAACTCAACAAAAAAGTTCCTGTTATGGTCCAGAGTGACTCCCAGGTATGTGGGTGTGTTGCAATGCTCCAGTGGGATTCCTTCCTTCCCAGGTAATAATCCTCAGAGCTTGGGATGCTTGTCTGTTCTTAAAGTGAAAAGCACATGTCTGTGTTTTAGATGGATTAGGGATCAGTTGGTTTTCCCTGTAATAGGCAGTAAGGGCACCTAAAGCTTCGGAGAGCTTCTGGTGTGAGATAATTGGCCGTCTGCAAGGACGTTGCCCAGGGGACGCCAGGATGTTTTGATGTTTTACCTCTGAAGATTTTTTTTTTTTTGTCGTGTCAGGAGCAACCGCTCCTGTTGTGAGAGAATTGGCCGTCTGCAAGGACGTTGCCCAGGGGACGCCTGGATGATTTTTGATGTTTTATCATCCTTGTGGGAGGCTTCTCTCATGTCCCCTCATGAGGAGCTGGAGCTAATAGAGGGAGCTCATCCACCTCTCCCCGGATTCGAACCTGCGACCTGTCGGTCTTCAGTCCTGCCGGCACAGTGCTTTAACCCACTGCACCACCTCTGAAGATGCCTACCATAGATGCAGGCAAAGCATCAGGAGAGAATGCTTCTGGAACATGGCCAGACAGTCCAGAAAACTCCCAACAATGCAGTGATTCCAGCCATGAAAGCCTTTGACAATACATGAAGGTATTATTGTTGTTGTTTATGTTTATTTATACCCTGCTTTATCTCCCCTGAAGGAGACTTGCAGGCTTGTTGTATGCAAAATTTGCACTTGTGGTTATTTTGTACCGAAAACATAAAACAAATCCCTTCATGGTGGGAGGGTGGACTAGATGACCCTTGGGGATCCCTTCCATATGTTTGTGCTTTAGTGCAAACTTGTTTTGCAACAACCTGTTTGGAAATGGCTAGCCAGCCGTTCCTTCCTTCTGCTTTTTTTCTTGCACAATCTGTCTGGAAGTGTGAAGAAACCAGACGGCGCATCAGCACAATGACAACAGACAAAAGTAATTGTTTCTCCTTTTTGACAAATGGAGTTCCCAAGAAGGGATGGAGCACCTTAGCAAAGGAAGGAGGAGACAGAGGAGGAGACACAACAAGAGTCCTTTTAGGGAGCAGCCCAGTGCGAATCCTGCGCAGAACCGTGGGTGATTGTCTTTGCAGTCCTTGGGACCAGTAAGTATGGGAGGGAGACAAATGGAGATGGGATGCAGGTAGGAAAGACATCCCAGTCCATAGAAATGGATGTTCCATTTTGGGATAATGGGAGTGGTAGTCCCCAGAAGGAAGTTCTCAAGGTGCAATGCTGGTTTGGAGGATTTGTCGAGCGGGAAAGCCAGGAAGAACTTTTCAAAACTTTTCCAAAACTTTTCCAAAACTTTCAGAAAACATTCGAAAACCTTTTGCAGGTTCCATGCTGGTTTGAGGATTCTGGGAGTGGTAATCCCAGAAAGAACATTTCAAGAATCTATATTGGTTTGGGGATTCTAGGAGTAGTAGTCCCAAAAAGGGACTTTTCAAGACTCTGGACTGGTTCGGGTATCTTGGGAATGATAATCCCAGAAATAACTTTAAAAAATGTTTGGGAAAGTTTTCAAAAACTTTTTTTAAAAAATCAAAAACTTTTGGAAAAAGTTTCAAAAGGTTGTGGTCAGTTTTTCAGGCTGTATGGCCATGTTCTAGAAGCATTCTCTCCTGATGTTTCGCCTGCATCTGTGGCAAGCATCCTCAGAGGTTGTGAGGAAAACTTTTCAAAAACTTTTGGAAAATTTTTTGGAAACCCTTTTGGAAAATGTTTAAAAACTTTTGGAAAAGCCTTTAAAACCTTGTAAAGAAATTTTGGAAAACTTTTCAAAACTTTTGTAAAAGTTTTTTTCTAAACTTATTTATTTATTTATTTACTTTATTTATATACCGCTTTTCTCAGCCCTTAGGCTGAGAAAAGTCCTTTTGCATTGCATCCATACTGTAAAAACTTTTTTTCAAAACTTTTGGAAAACTTTTCAGAATGTTTTTTCCAAACCTTTGTAAAAACTTTTTCAAAACATGCGGAAAATGTCCCAAAACTTTTGGAAAACTTTTCTAAAACTTTGGGAAACATTTCAAAAAACTCTTGGGGAAAAAACGTTTTCAAAACTTTTAGAAAAACTTTTGGAAACCCTTTTGGAAAAAGTTTCAAAGCTTTTGAAAAACTTTTCAAAACTTTTGGAAAACACTTAAAAATCTCGTAAAGAACTTTTGGAAAACTTTTCAAAACTTTCATAAAAACTTTTTTTTGAAACTTTTGTAAAAACTTTTTCAAAACATGCGGAAAATGTCCCAAAACTTTTGGAAACCTTTTCTAAAACTTTTGGAACAATTTCTAAAAACTCTTGGAAAAAACATTTTCAAAACTTTTGGAAAAATCTTTGGAAACCCTTTTGGAAAAAGTTTCAAAGCTTTTGAAAAACTTTTCAAAACGTTTGGAAAACACTTTAAAACCTTGTAAAGAACTTTTGGAAAACTTTTCAAAACTTTTGTAAAAACTTTTTTTTTTCAAAACTTTTGAAAAACTTTTCAGAATTTTTTTTTCAAAACTTTTGGAAAAACTTTTTCAAAACTTACGGAAAATGTCCCAAAACTTTTGGAAAACTTTTCTAAAACTTTTGGGGGAAAAAAATCTAAAAACTCTTGGAAAAAATGCTTTCAAAACTTTTGGAAAAAAATTGAAAAACTTTTCAAAACTTTAGGAAAAACGTTTCAAAACTCCATGCTGGTTTGGGGATTTTGGGAGTGCTATCTCTCAAAAGATCTTGTAAATGCAGCCTGTATTTACTACTGGATTGAAGAGTTGCCTCCTATATACACAGTGCTCATGGTTTTCATTTTCTTTCCAGTTCCTTCACCAAGAAGTCCAATTTTCTCTTCCGCAATCATGCAGATCGTACTTTCTGTTGCCGTGGTCCTTGTGGCACTGTCTGTTGTGGCAGGTGAGACCTAAACACAACTGCTTATTATGATGATATCGTAATATATTCTCTTACAGTGGGTTCCCCATGCTCTGCAACCACAGGTAAGTCAAACTGTGGATAGGGGATCTGCAGATACGGAGGGCCCATTGAATGCATTATATTCCATTTTTCCACCCAAAGGTCGTATAATAAGGTCGTATAATGTGAAAATGCCATCAAGCCAACCCAGGTGTTGCAATCTTCAGGTGGAACTTTTGCAAAGGCTGCTTTTCCCATATTGTGCCGTGCCGTCGTCTCCAGTTTGGCCAGCTTTGGCAGTTTTGCAATCTTTCCGTCGTGGGTCGCCGCACCTTTTTACTCCCCAAAAAGAGATACACCCCCAGTTTGGAAGGCCCTCCGAAACCCATTGCACCAGCCCTTCCCAGTTGGACATGTCCCAGCAAGCCTGGACCCTCCCAGTATCTTCCTCCCAGCTTTCATTCCTTTCTTCTCTTTCTTTCTTTCCTTCTTTTTCATTCCTTTCTTCATCCCAGTTTCCCCAGGGAAAAGTCTTTCTGCGGTGCAGCCATACTGAAGAAAGTACGCAGTTTGCCACTTGAACTGCAATGGCTCAATGTCATAGAATCCTGGGAGTTGTAGTTTTGTAAGGCCTTCAGCCTTCTCTGCTAAACTACAACTCCCAGGATCCTGCAGCATTGAGGCATGGCCGTTCAAGTGGCATCAAACTATGTTCCATCCGGGAGTTTAATTCCACTCCAAGAAACCTGGGAGTTGTAGTTTTACAAGGCCTTCAGACTTCTCTGCCAAACTACAACTCCCAGGATGCCGTAGCATCGAGGCACAGCAGTTCAAGTGGTATCAAACTATGTTCCATTCGGGAGTGTAATTGCACTCCAAGAATCCTGGGAGTTGTAGTTTTGTAAGGCCTTCAGCCTTCTCTGCCAAACTACAACTCCCAGGATCCCACAGCATTGAATCACAGCCATTCAAGTGGTGTCAAGCCATGTTCCATTCGGGAGTGTAATTGCACTCCAAGAATCCTGGGAGTTGTAGTTTTGTAAGGCCTTCAGCCTTCTCTGCTAAACTACAACTCCCAGGATCCCATAGCATTGAGGCACAGCCATTCAAGTGGTGTCAAACTATGTTTCATCCGGGAGTGTAATTGCACTCCAAGAATCCTGGGAGTTGTAGTTTTGCAAGGCCTTCAGCCTTCTCTGCCAAACTACAACTCCCAGGATCCTGCAGCATTGAGGCACAGCCCTTCAAGTGGCGTCAAACTATGCTCCTTTCGAGAGTGTAATTGCACTCCAAGAATCCTGGGAGTTGTAGTTCTGCAAGGCCTTCAGCCTTCTCTGCTAAACTACAACTCCCAGGATGCCGTAGCATTGAGGCACAGTCATTCAAGTGGTATCAAACCATTTTCTATCTGGGAGTGTAATTGCACTCCAAGAATCCTGGGAGTTGTAGTTTTAGGAAGTCTTCTGCCTTCTCTGCCAAACTACAACTCCCAGGATCCCGTAGCATTGAGGCACAGGCGTTCAAGTGGCGTCAAACTATGTTCCATCCAGGAGTGTAATTGCACTCCAAGAATCCTGGGAGTTGTAGTTCTGCAAGGCCTTGAGAGTGCCAAAGAGTGCGAATGACAACTCCCAGGATTCGATCTATATGGCATTACAACCGCATTCATTTTAGTTAAAGCAGACTGCAACCATATTCATTCCACAGTGTGTAGATGCACCCCTTGCAAGACTACAACTCCCATGAGCCTGGGCAGTGTAGGCACATGCTTTCCTCATTGCCAGCAGGTGAGGGAAATGTCTGCAAGTGGGAGATGTTCTGAGCCATCGCTGTTCAAGTGAGGTCAAATTGTGTCAGTATAACTCGTCGGAATTATGGGAGTTGTAGTTCTGCAAGGCCTTGAGATTGCCAAAGAGTGAAAACTACACCTCCCAGGATTCAATCTCATGGAGCCATGGGAGTTAAAGCAGAGTGCAACCACATCCATTCCACAGTGTGTAGATGCATCCTTTGCAAGACTACAACTCCCATGAGCCTGAGCAATGGGTCGCATGTTTCCAAGTAAGTGGGGAGATGTATGCAAGCAGGAGATGCGCCACAGTTCACAAACATGACCTTTTCATCCCCTTTGATATCTCCCAGGATGCTGGGAGTTGTAGTCCAAACACTACCCAGCTGCTTCTTTGCCTTGCTCTAGGTACTGATGAAATCCCAGTTGCAAACGAACCCAGTTTGTCTCAGAAACTGGAGAAATTCCAGCAGGAAGTCCAGACTTTTGTGGACCGCGTTGGCGAGGAAACCAAGGAGGCGTTCCGTGACATTCATCACAGCGAATTCAGCAACAAGACCAGGTGAGTCGCCATCGAATCCCATGCAAAGTTGGACTACAAGTCCCAGAATCCCCACTGGCCTGTCAAAGGGATGCTGCTGGAATTCCTCTTCGAGCGCCATGACTCCAATGTGATGAAAAACCCCTGAGAGTTGTAGTTTGCTCCACCTTTGGGCAGAGAAGGCAGAAAAGACCTTGGGGAAACTACATCTCCCAGGATTATATAGTTTGGGTTAAAATAGGGTCAGACTGCAGTGTTGTTATACAATGGAACTCCATAGGCCCAAATAAATACCCCCAAAAAGGTGAAAAGATCTAGTATAATTTGAGAAAGCTAAGCAGGGTCTGCCTTGGTTTGGATGTGGATGGGAGACCGCTGTTCTATTTCAAAGGAAGGAACCAAACTACTACTACTACTACTACTACTACTACTACTTGTTATTATTAACAATGACCCAAATAAATATCCCCGAAAAGGTGAAAAGATCTAGTATAATTTGAGAAAGCTAAGCAGGGTCTGCCTTGGTTCGGATGTGGATGGGAGACCGCTGTTCTATTTCAAAGGAAGGAACCAAACTACTACTACTACTACTACTGCTACTTGTTATTATTAACAATGACCCAAATAAATACCCCCAAAAAGGTGAAAAGATCTAGTATAATTTGAGAAAGCTAAGCAGGGTCTGCCTTGGTTCAGATGTGGATGGGAGACCGCTGTTCTATTTCAAAGGAAGGAACCAAACTACTACTACTACTACTACTACTGCTACTTGTTATTATTAACAATGACCCAAATAAATACCCCAAAAAGGTGAAAAGATGTAGTATAATTTTAGAAAGCTAAGCAGGGTCTGCCTTGGTTCGGATGTGGATGGGAGACCGCTATTCTATTTCGAAGGAAGGAACCAAACTACTACTACTACTCCTACTACTTGTTATTATTAACAATGACCCAAATAAATACCCCCAAAAAGGTGAAAAGATCTAGTATAATTTTAGAAAGTTAAGCAGGGTCTGCCTTGGTTCGGATGTAGATGGGAGACCGCTATTCTATTTCAAAGGAAGGAACCAAACTACTACTACTCCTACTCCTACTACTACTACTTGTTATTATTAACAATGACCCAAATAAATACCCCCCAAAAGGTGAAAAGATCTAGTATAATTTTAGAAAGCTAAGCAGGGTCTGCCTTGGTTCGGATGTGGATGGGAGACCGCTGTTCTATTTCAAAGGAAGAAACTAACCAAGCTACTACTACTACTACTTATTATTAAGTAGTAATAGTAATATAATAGTAATAATAAATATTACTTATTATTATTATTATTAAGTAGTAATAATAATATAATAGTAATAATAAAGTAGTAAAATAATAATAATAATAAGTAGTAACAATAATATAATAGTAATAATAAATATTACCACTTAGTATTATTATTATTAAGTAGTAATAATAATATAATAGTAATAATAAATATTACTACTTATTATTATTATTAAGTAGGAATAATAATATAATAGTAATAATAAAGTAGTAAAATAATAATAATAATAATAATAATAATAATAATAATAATAATAAGTAGTAATATTTATTATTACTATTATATTATTGTTACTACTTATTATTATTATTTCACTATTTTATTATTACTATTATATTATTATTATTACTACTACTTAATAATAATAAGTAGTAGTAATATTGTAGGTTTTTCCAGGTTATATGGCCATGTTCTAGAGGCATTTTCTCCTGACGTTTCGCCTGCATCTATGGCAAGTATCCTCAGAGGATGCTTGCCACAGATGCAGGCGAAACGTCAGGAGAAAATGCCTCTAGAACATGGCCATATAACCATATATGGCCATATAACTCGGAAAACCTACAGCAACCCAGTGATTCCGGCCACGAAAGCCTTCGACAATAATAATAATTTGTTTATGTTTATGTTTATTAATAAACACTTGCGAAAACACTAGGAAATTCACTGGGTAAGTCGATAGTGGACTTGAAGGCCAGATGATCTGCTTTGAACTGGATTATATGGCAACGTAGACTCATACAACGCCAGATAATGTGGATTATCTGCTTTGATGATCTGGATTATATAGAGATCCAGTCCTATGTTGTTGTTCATTCGTTCAGTCGTCTCCGACTCTTCGTGACCTCATGGACCAGCCTACGCCAGAGCTCCCTGTCGGCCGTTACCACCCCCAGCTCCCTCAAGGTCAGTCCAGTCACTTCAAGGATGCCATCCATCCCTCTTGCCCTCTTCAAAGTCCAGTTGGTCAAAATCCAGATTGCATTCTATGGAAAAGGTGGCAGTTCCTTCGGGCGCCACTAGGAGGAGCTGCAGGCTATGGCAAAAATGCATTGGGGATGCAACTAGAAAAGGTGCATGTTGTAGAACCAATAAATGTAGTCAATCCCCATTTGAAATGCCATGGTTCAATACTATGGGGTCGTGGGAGTTGTAGTTTGCAAGGCCAAAGGGTCCAGACTACAACTTCCAGGCTTCCATAGCAATTCAAGGAGTATTCGTTCTCCAATCTAGAGCCGCATCCCACCTAAAAGAATGAAAAGACTCAACATTATGGGGTTGCGGGAGTTGTAGTTTGCAAGGCCAAAGGGTCCAAACTACGACTCCCAGGCTTCCATAGCAATTCAAGGAGCATTCGTTCTGCAATCTAGAGCCGCATCCCACCTAAAAGAATGAAGGGACTCAACATGATGGGGTTGTGGGAGTTGTAGTTTGCAAGGTCAAAGTGTCTCAACTACAACTCACAGGCTTCCATAGCAATGTTTCTTGTTGCATCGATGATGCAACAAGAAAAGGTGCATGTTGTAGAACAAATAAATGTAGTCGGTCCCCATTTGAACTGAAATGGCTGAATATTATAGGGTCGTGGGAGTTGTAGTTTGCAAGGCCAAAGGGTCCAAACTACAACTCCCAGGCATCCATAGCAATTCAAGGAGTATTCGTTCACCAATCTAGAAGTGCATCCCACCCAAAGAGTGAAGTGACTCAATACTATGGGGTTGTGGGAGCTGTAGTTTGCAAGGTCAAAATGTCCAAACTACAACTCCCAGGCTTCCATAGCTATGCTTCTTGTTTTATTGATGATGCAACAAGAAAAGGTGCATGTTGTAAAACAAATGAATGTAGTATGTCCCCATTTGAACTGCCAAGGCTCAATACTATGGGGTTGTGGGAGTTGTAGTTTGCAAGGCCAAAGGTTCCAAACGAAAACTCCCAGGCTTCCATAGCAATGCAAGGAGCCTTTGTTCTCCAATCTAGAGATGCATCCCGCCCCAAAAGTGAAATGACTCAATACTATGGGGTTGTGGGAGCAGTAGTTTGCAAGGCCAAAGGGTCCAAACTATAACTCCCAGGCTTGTATAGTAATGCAATGAGCACTTGCTCTCCAATCTAAAGGCTCATCTCACCCAAAATTACTATGGAATCGTGGGAGTTGTAATTTGCAAGGCCAAAGGGTCCAAACTACAACTCCCAGGCTTCCATAGCAATGCAAGGAGCATTCGCTCTCCAATCCAGAGGTGCATCCCACGCAAAAATACTTTGGAGTCATGGGAGTTGTAGTTTGCAACGCCAAAGGATCCAAACTACAACTCTCAGGCTTCCATAGCAATGCGAGGAGCATTTGTTCTCCATCTAGAGGTGCATCCTACCCAAAAATACTATGGAGTTCTGGAAGTTGTAGTTTGCAATGCCAAAGGGTCGAAACTACAAGTCCCAGGCTTGCATAGCAATGCAAGGAGCATTTGCTCTCCAATCTAGAGGTGCATCCCACCCAAAAATATTATGGAGTCGTGGGAGTTGTAGTTTGCAAGGCCAAAGTGTCCAAACTACAACTCCTGGGTTTCTATAGCAATTCAAGGAGCATTCATTCTCCAATCTAGCGGCTATTCCCAAGCAAAAACACTGTGGAGTCATGGGAGTTGTGGTTTGCAAGGCCAAAGGGTCCAAACTACAACTCCCAGGCTTGCATAGTAACGCAAGGAGTGGTTGTTCTCCAATCTAGAGATGCATCCCACCCAAAAATACTATGGAGTCATGGGAGTTGTAGTTTGCAACGCCGAAGGATCCAAACTACAACTCTCAGGCTTCCATAGCAATGCAAGCAGCATTCGCTCTCCAATCTAGAGACACATTCCACCCAAAAATACTATGGAGTTGTGGGAGTTGTAGTTTGCAAGGTCAAAGGGTCCAAACTACTAATCCCAGGCTTCCATAGCAATGCAAGGAGCATTCTCTCTCCAATCTAGAGGTGCATCCCTCCCAAAGAGTGAAGTGACTCAATACTATGGGGTCGTGGGAGTTGTAGTTTGCAAGGCGAAAGGGTCCAAACTACAACTCCCAACTCCAATCTAGAGATACATCCCATCCTAAGAGTGAAGTTGACAGGTTCCTCTGATTCTTTCTTGCCCTCGACAGGAACTGGTTCTCGGAAAACTTCCGGAAGCTGAAGGAAAAATTCAGGACCCTCTTTCCCAGAGAGGAAGCCAACTGAATCCATCCGTGGACTCCGATTCCCATCATTCCCACACTGAATGGAAGGAGAGGACCTCCACGAAGCAATGATGGAGCAGCACCCGACCCTCGGTGGCCTGCCTTTGCCTTTCTTTCGTCCTTCTTTGATACGCTTCTATTATTAATAAAGAGATTATGCCTTCCTGGTGAAATAAAATCTCTGCTTATTCTTAGGATATGTTTTCCCCCTTCTTTCCTCCGAGACACACTCGTGGGAGTTGTAGTTTGCAAGGCCAAAGTGTCCAAACTACAACTCCCAGGCTTCCAGAGCAATGCAAGGATCATTTGCTCTCCAATCTAGAGGTGCATCCCAAAGAGTGAAGTGACTACATACTATGGAGTCATGGGAGCTGTAGTTTGCAAGGTCAAAGGGTCTAAACTACAACTCCCAGGCTTCCATAGCAATGCAAGGAGCATAAACTCTCCAACTAGAGGTACATCCCAAAGAGTGAAGTGACTCAATACTATGGAGTCGTGGGAGCTGTAGTTCACAAGACCAAAGGGTCCAAACTACAACTCCCAGGCCTCTCCAATCTAGAGGTGCATCCCACCCAAAGAGTGAAGTGACTCAATACTATGTGGTTGTGGGAGCTGTAGTTTGCAAGGCCAAAGGGTCCAAACTACAACTCCCAGACTTCCATAGCAATGCAAGCAAGGGGCATTTGCTCTCCAATCTAGAGGTGCATCCCACCCAAAGAGTGAAGTGACTCAATACTATGGAGCTGTGGGAGCTGTAGTTTGCAAGGCCAAAGGGTCCAAACTACAACTCCCAGGCCTCTCCAATCTAGAGGTGCATCCCACCCAAAGAGTGAAGTGACTCAATACTATGGRGYTGTGGGWGCTGTAGTTTGCAAGGCCAAAACTACAACTCCAGGCCTCTCCAATCTAGAGGTGCATCCCACCCAAAGAGTGAAGTGACTCAATACTATGGAGTCATGGGAGCAGTAGTTTGCAAGGCCAAAGGGTCCAAACTACAACTCCCAGGCTTCCATAACAATACAAGGAGCATTCACTCTCCAATCTAGAGGTACATCCCAAAGAGTGAAGTGACTCAATACTATGGAGTCGTGAGATCTGTAGTTTGCAAGGCCAAAGGGTCCAAACTACAACTCCCAGGCTTCCATAGTAATTCAAGGAGCATTCGTTTTCCAATCTAGAGTTGCATCCCACCCAAAGAGTGACGTGGCTCAATACTATGGGAACTGTAGTTTGCAAGATCAAAGGGTCCAAACTACAGCTCCCAATTCAAGGAGCATTGGTTCTCTAATCTAGAGATACATCCCATCCAAAGAATGATGTTGACAGGTTCTTTCTTCCAAGACACACTCGTGGGAGTTGTAGTTTCACAAGTACAAAGAGTGCAAACTACAAAGCCCACGATTCCAAACCATGGCAGTTAAAGCAGTATCCAACTGCACTAGTAAGGGCGTGTAGCTGCGCCTTTTGGGTCCGCCAATGAGGCTGGTTGATCAATGACCAGGGAGTCAATATTGCACAAACTGGCATGAGCGGATCCTGACCTTTTTTGCCCCAATTCTGTCTGCTCACCAATATTTGTGCAAACACACCTTTGGACTAAAAGTCTAGCTTTCGGATGAGGTTGTTTGATTTCAACTAGAAGGTCCAAGAAACCTCCTAAAACTAGAAACCCTATATAATGGTGGGATGTGTAGTTTTCCTAAGGCGTGCATCTTCACTTCAATTACCTTCACTAAATGCTAAGGAATTCTGGGAGTTGTTGTTTTCCTAACTGTAGAATAAATGCACACTGGAATTTCCATGTTTCTGTGCGGGGGCATTGTGGGATATGTAGTTCGCCAAAGGGTGCACTGGAGAATGAATGCACTTTGGCACCACTTCAACCACTATAGAATAATATAATAATGGGATTTGTAGTTTTACATGAGGTTCGGCATCTGTGAATTGCCATGTCTTGATGCTATGGAGTCCTGGTATTTGTAGTTTTTCTAAGGGTGTCTCAAACGGACTAATTAATACACTTTGGCACACTTGAACTGCCACGGAACCATGGGAGTTGTAGTTTTACTAAGGGTGCATGCGGTACAGCATCCACAAACTGCCATGGCTTGATTCTATGAAGTTCTGGGATTTGTAGTTTTTCTAAGGGTTTCTCAAACGGATGAATCAATACACTTTGGCATACTTGAACTTCCATGGAACCAAGGGAATTGAAGTTTTACTAAGGGCACATGCGGTTCTGCATCCACAAACTGCCATAGCTCGATTCTATGAAGTTCTGGGATTTGTAGTTTTTCTAAGGGTTTCTCAAACAGATGAATTAATACACTTTGACACACTTGAACTGCCATGGAACCAAGGGAATTGAAGTTTTACTAAGGGCACATGCGGTTCTGCATCCACAAACTGCCATAGCTCGATTCTATGAAGTCCTGGGATTTGTAGTTTTCCTAAGGGCATCTCAAACCGATGAATTAATACACTTTGACACACTTTAACTGCCATGGAAGCATGGGAATTGTAATTTTACTAAGGGTGCATGCTGTTTGGCATCCACTCATTGCCACAGCCTTGGGATTTATAGTTTTCCTAAGGGCACCTCGAACGAATGAAGGAATCCGCTGTGACGCGCTTGAACCGCCATAGCCGAATGCCACGGAATCCCAGGAGTTGTAGTTTTGCGAGCTCTTTCTCGTTCTCCACCAGAAAGTGAATGAGAGTATTAGTTTTGAAAACCAATCAATCAATCAATAGAAAAGAGCCTTCAATTGATTCCAATGGAAAGCCCGGTCCCGGTGCAATTTTGGAGAAGTTAAACATGAGCCAACAATGTGATGCAGCAGCGGAAAGAGTCAATAAGATTTTGGACTGCATCCAGAAGAATATAGTGTTGATGCTAGATCAAGGGAAGTCATGTTTCCCTTCAATTCTGCTTTGGTCACCTGGAATAATAGCCTTGTGTGGCAGATTGGGGTAGGACTAGATGGCCTTTGGGTGCCCCTTCCAATTCCAGGATTCTCTTCTAGGGTTCTCCTGCCTGTCTCCCAAAGGTCATATTTATCTGACCCAGGCTGGCTTGCAACCTTTGTTTGCTCGGACTCTGGCCGGCTCGAAAAGGGAGCGGAGGTCCCATTGGGCGAGCAGGTGGAGGACCAGAAAGAGGACTGCCGACTGGACGCCTGACCATCTCTTCCCCGGCCAGAGCTTAGTCGATCCAGAAGACGGGCGAGGCGGATTCAGGCAGAGAGGTAAGAGTGCTGGGGCATTTCGATGGCCAAAGGGAAGCAGGATGACCAATGGGGCAAAGCATGGAATAGGTGCTGATGGTGCTTCTACACCAGGCATGGGCCACCTTGGGCCCTCCAGGTGTTTTGAACTTCAACTCCCACAATTCCTAACAGCTAGTATTCCTAACAGGCTCTTTTGGCACTTTGGGACATTCAGTAATACATTTGGCTTTGAATTCTTCCAGGTTTTGGCTGCAAAACTCTATCTCTTTCAACATCTCAGGCAACTCTGCTGAAAATGGGTCTCAAACTGGTGGCAACAACACTATTGTTAGTGGTCCTCTGCTGTGGTAAGTACTTCCGGACTGCCAATTCGGACTTCTGACCATGTACAAAATGCGAATAGAGTGTGGTTTTGGGTTCTGCTGAAAAATATATAGCATCAGGGGCAATACAGCAATATATTTGGAATACAGAAGTTGGAAGAGACCCCAAAAGGTCATCTAGTCTGACCTCATTCTGAGTAGAAAGCCAAAGTCCTTTGGAAACATGACCAAGGTTCCTATAGTCTTTGTATAATGTTCATATACTACAGTGTTTCTCAACCTGGGGGTCAAGACCCCTGCAAGGGGGGGGGGTCACGAGGGGGTCTCAGAGGGGTCTCCACAGACCATCAGAAAACACAGTATTTTCTGTTGGTCACGGGGGTTCTGTGTGGGAAGTTTGGCCAATTCTATCATTGGTGGGGTTCAGAATGCTCTTTGATTGTAGTCGAACTATAAATCCCAGCAACTACAACTCCCGAACGTCAAGGTCTATTTCCTTCAAACTCCACCAGTGTTCACATTTGGGCATATTGAGTATCCGTGCCAAATTTGGTCCAGATCCATCATTGTTTGAGTCCACTGTCCTCTCTGGATGTAGGTGAACTACAACTCCCAAACTCAAGGTCAATGCCCACCAAACCCTTCCAGTATTTTCTGTTGTTCTGTGTGCCAAGTTTGGTTCAATTTCATGCTCGGTAGGGTCCAGAATGCTCTCTGATTGTAAGCGAACTAGAAATTCCAGCAACTACAACTCCTAAACATCAAGGTCTATCTTCCCCAAACTCCACCAGTCTTCACATCTAAGAATATTGAGGATCCATGCCAAGTTTGGTCCAGATCCATCATTGTTTGAGTCCGCTGTCCTCTCTGGATGTAGGTGAACTACAGCTCCCAAACTCAAGGTCAATGCCCACCAAACCCTTTCAGTATTTTCTGTTGGTTGTGGGAGTTCTGTGTGCCAAGTTTGGTTCAATTCCATCATTGGTGGGGTTCAGAATGCTCTTTGATTGCAGGCGAACTATAAATCCCAGCAACTACAACTCCCAAATTTCAAGGTCTATCTTCCCCAAACTCCACCAGTCTTCACATCTAAGCATATTGAGTATCCATGCCAAGTTTGGTCCAGATTCATCATTGTTTTGAGTTCATAGTTCTCTCTGGATGTAGGTGAACTACAACTCCCAAACTCAAGGTCAATGTCCACCAAACCCTTCCAGTATTTTCTGTTGGTCATAAGGAACTGTATGAAGGGGTCACAGCAGTAGGAATGTTGAGAAACACTGATGTTCTGCATTGTTTTTAGTACAGTTTGCTGCTTTGGATCTCCATTAAGGGAAGAAGCAGCATGTAAATAAATACATAACAATAACAATAACAACAACAATAACAACAACAATAACAATAACTCATCTTTTCGTAGAAATCTCCAGCTTCCGCCTGCAGAAACGGGAAGCTCAGGAGGAGGCGCAAGTCCTGACCCAACTCCAGGAGGCAGCCAAAGGATACTGGGACCAGGTTTCCAATACGACCTTGGGCTGGTTCGGCCAAATCAAGACCCTTGGGTTTAATCAGAAGCTCAGGTGAGAATACTACAGATCCCAAGCCAGGGTGGCGAGCGCAGGGATCTCATGTCTGCATCACTTGTCAAGACATATGGAGTATCCACGCTGACAAATGTGAATGCAGAATGATCCTCCACTTGACTGCCATGGCACCATGATATGGAAACATGGGAGTTGTAGTTCCTCAAGGCCTTGGCCTTTGTCTTACCAAAGACTTCCTTCTCCATAGCATTGATCCAGGCAGTTAACGTCTTCAAATCACATTTATCCGACAATGGCTGTAAATAAACACTTGGTGAAACTACAATTCCCAGGATTCCATTCCATGGTAACAAACTGCATTCATTTTGCAGCATTGATGCACACTTAATGAAACTACAACTTCCAAGATTCATTCACAGTGTAGCTGCACCCTTAGTAAAACTACAACTCCTAGGATTCCATAACATTGAGACATTGTGGTCAAGTGGGATCATACTGCATCAGTTTCCTTGGTTAAATAACAACTCCCAATATTCATGCTACGTTGTAGGTGCACCCTTAGTGAAACTACAACTTCCAAGATTCATTCACAGTGGAGCTGCACCCTTAGTAAAACTACAACTCCTAGGATTCCACAGCATTGAGCCATTGTGGTCAAGTGGGATCATACTGCATCAGTTTCCTTGGTTAAACAACAACTCCCAATATTCATGCTACGTTGTAGGTGCACCCTTAGTGAAACTACAACTTCCAAGATTCATTCACAGTGTAGCTGCACCCTTAGTAAAACTACAACTCCTAAGATTCCATAGCATTGAGGCATTGTGGTCAAGTGGGGTAATACTGCATTCATGGGTTAAACAACAACTCCCAATATTAACGCTACGTTGTAGGTGCACCCTTAGTGAAACTACAACTTCCAGAATTCCATAGCATTGTGCCACAGCAATTAATCTGGAGTCACTGAGCTTTGGTTCTATAGAGGTTTCTTTGGTGAAACTACAACTCCCAAGATTCATTCCACAGTGTAGGTTCGTCCTTAGCAAAACTGCAACTCCCAAGATTCATACCACAGTACTGATGTACCCTTAGCAAAACTACAACTCCCAAGATTCATTCCACAGTGTAGGCTCATCTTTAGTGAAATGACAACTCCTAGGATTCCATGGCATTGAGTCACGGTAGTTAAAGTCACACTGCCCTTATTCAAAGGTGTAGATGCACCCTTGGTGAAACTACAGCTCCCAATATTCATGCTACAGTTCAGATGCATCCATAGTGAAATTACAACCCCCAGGAATCATTCCGCAGTGCAGGTGCACCCCATAGTGAAACTATAATTCTCCGGATTCTATAGCATTGAGCCACAGCAATCAAAGTGGGGTCACAGTGCATTTGTTCTATAGTGTAGATGTACCCTTAGTGAAACTACAACTCCCAAAATTTATTCTTCAGTCTAGATGCCCCCTTAGTGAAACTACATCTCCTAGGACTCAATAGCATTGAGCCACGGCAATTAAAGTGGGGTCACAGTGCATTTGTTCTATAGCGTAGATGTACCCTTAGTTAAGCCACAACTCCCAGGATTGGTTCTACAGTGTAGATGCCCCCTTAGTGAAACTACAACTCCCAAGATTTATTCTAAAGTGTAGATGTAACTTAGTGAAACTACAACTCCTAGGATTCAATAGCATTGAGCCACGGCAATCAAAGTGGGGTCACAGTGCATTTGTTCTATAGTGTAGATGTACCCTTAGTGAAACTACAACTCCCAAAATTTATTCTTCAGTCTAGATGCCCCCTTAGTGAAACTACATCTCCTAGGACTCAATAGCATTGAGCAACGGCAATTAAAGTGGGGTCACAGTGCATTTGTTCTATAGTGTAGATGTACCCTTAGTGAAACTACAACTCCCAAAATTTATTCTTCAGTCTAGATGCCCCCTTAGTGAAACTACATCTCCTAGGACTCAATAGCATTGAGCCACGGCAATTAAAGTGGGGTCACAGTGCATTTGTTCTACAGTGTAGATGTACCCTTAGTGAAACTACAACTCATAGAATTTGATAGCATTGAGCCACAGCAATTAAAGTAGGGTCACAGTGCATTTGTTCTATAGTGTAGATGTACCCTTAGTGAAACTACAGCTCCCAAGATTCATTTTACAGTGTAGATGCCCCCTTAGTGAAACTACAACTCCCAATATTTATTCTACAGTTTATATGCACCCTTAGTGAAACTATAACTCCTAGGATTCAATAGCATTGAGCCACGGCAATTAAAGCAGGGTCACAGTGCATTTGTTCTATAATGTAGATGTACCCTTAGTGAAGCCACAACTCCCAGGACTGTTTCTACAGTGTCGATGCCCCCTTAGTGAAACTACAACTCCCAAGATTTATTCTACAGTCTAGATGTAACTTAGTGAAACTACAACTCCTAGGATTCAATAGCATTGAGCCACGGCAATCAAAGTGGGGTCACAGTGCATTTGTTCTATAGTGTAGATGCACCCTTAGTGAAGCCACAACTCCCAGGGCTGGTTCTTCAGTCTAGATGCCCCCTTAGTGAAACTACAACTCCCAGGATTCCATAGCGTACGGAAAGCAAGCCTCTAATGTTGTCGTGACGCCTTCTCTTCTCTTTCCTTCTTCCTTTCCAGCGACATGTACGAAAAGGGCACCTCGGCCGTGGGCACCTACTGGAACATCATCTCCGACCAACTCTATCACCATTGGCACGGCGATCAATAAATAGTGTGGTTTGCAAGGCCCGTGGTGGCCCTCTGGCTTGCTTTTCGTACAATCTGGACACAAAGATCTGTCTTTCCCTCGTCTCGAGTGAATAAAGTGCCTTTCCTTCCCCTGAGGTCTTCCCGTATGCCTCTTGTGTTCCCAAAGATAGACACATGGTTGTATTCTATTGATTTTGACATTTAATTCCCAATTTAGCCCCCATTCAAAATCTATATTCTTGCAATTTTGCATTTTCTGTGCTCTAGCGACACCTACAGGTCATAATATACATTAGGTAAAGGTTTTCCCCTGATATTATGTTCAGCCGTGTAGGATTCTGGTGCTCATCGCCATTTCGAAGCCGAAGAGCCGGCATTGTCCGTAGACACCTCCAAGGTCATGTGGCCAGCATGACTGCATGAAACGCTGTTAGCTTCCCTATTGATCTCTTCACATTTGCATGTTTTCGAATTGCTAGGTGGGCAGGAGCTGGGGCTAACAGCAGGAGCTCACGCCATTCCCAGGATTCGAACCTACTAGTCATGTGGCCAGCATGACTCCATGAAGTGGCTTTATCTTCCCGCTGGAGCGGTATCTATTGCTCTACTCACATTTGCATGCTTTCAAACTATTAGGTTGGCAGGAGCTGGGGCTAACAGCAGGAGCTCACCCCATTCCCAGGATTCGAACCTACTAGTCATGTGGCCAGCATGACTGCATGAAGTGCCGTTACCTTCCTGCCGGAGCGGTATCTATTGTTCTACTCACATTTGCATGCTTTCAAACTGTTAGGTTGGCAGGAGCTGGGGCTGACAGCAGAAGCTCACCGCACTCTTAGGATTCGAACCTACTAGTCATGTGGCCAGCATGGGGCATGTGTATATGAGAAGCCCCCACTGAGCTGCTAAACTTGCTGACTGAAAGGTCACAGGTTTGAATCCGGGGAGCGGGGTGAGCTCCTGCTGTTAGCCCCAGCTCCTGCCAACCTAGCAGTTTAAATACATGTAAATGTGAGTAGATCAATAGGTATTGCTCCGGAGGGAAGGTAACGGCACTCCATGCAGTCATGCCAGTGGCCACATGACCTTGGAGGCCGGACACATGACCTTACCTTTACCTATGTGTATCATATATGTGTGTGTGTGTATATATATATATAGTCTGCAAAGAATGGCAAAACAAACAAACTCTGCAATAATCGAGCGGCTAATCTGCCGACAAAGGAAGTTGTTCTTTCCTTTCGAGATGAAGGCTAACGGTCAACTTCTCCTCCAACGAAATGAACATTTTATTAGTTTGCGTACACAATGGCGAATGAATATAGTTTGACCCCCACGGCTCAAGGGAGTTGTAGTTCCCAAGATCTTAAGCCTTCTCCACCAAAGAGGGATGGTGGCTCACCAAACTACAACTCCCAGGGTTCTCTAGGGTTGTTCAAGTGGCATCAAAGTGCATTAATTCTGCATTACCAATGAAACCCTGAGTTTAATGGCAATCAGAGCTTGATCTGAGCCTATGCGGTTATTTTCACCCAAATAACAACAACAACAACAACAACAACAACAACAATAATGGCGCAGTGGGTTAAAGCACTGAGCTGCTGAGCTTGTTGATCGAAAGGACGCAGGTTCGATTCCGGGGAGCGGCGTGAGCTTCCGCTGTCAGCCCTAGCTTCTGCCAACCTAGCAGTTCGAAAACATGCAAATGTGAGTAGATCAATAGGTACCGCTCTGGCGGGAAGGTAACGGCGCTCCATGCAGTCATGCTGGCCACATGACCTTGGAGGTGTCTACCGACAACGCTGGCTCTTCGGCTTAGAAATGGAGATGAGCACCACACCCCAGAGTCAGACATGACTGGACTTAATGTCAGGGGACTACCTTTACCTTTTAACAAGAAACAATTGTCCAGTCTGGGTTGCTGTGGGATTTCCGTGGATGTAGCATACCTGGATTTCAGGAAGGCCTTCTTTGACAAGGTCCCCCATGACCTTCTGGCAAGGAAACTAGTCCAAGGTGGGCGAGGCAAAACTACGGTGAGGTGGATATGGAATTGACTAAATGGACGAACCCAGAGGGTGATTCTCCCCAAGGCTTCCTCTTCATCCTGGAAAGAAGTGACGAGTGGAGTGCCATCAGGAGCGTTCCCCCCTGGGCCCAGTCCTGATTAGGATCTTCATTCATGACTTAGATGAAGGGCTAGAAGGCAGGATCATCAAGTTTGCAGATGACACCAAATGGGGAGGGAGAACCAAGACTCCAGAAGACAGGAGCAGGACTCAAAGGGATCTTGACAGATTAGAGAGATGAGTGGCCAAAACTAACAAAATGAAGTTCAACAGGGACAAATGCGAGGTACTCCACTTTGGCAGGAAAAAAACGAAATGCAAAGAGACAGAACGGGGACAATGCCTGGCTCGAGAGCAGTACGTGTGAAGAAGATCTTGGAGTCCTCGTGGACAACAAGTTAAACATGAGCCAACAATGTGATGTGGCGGCAAAAAAAGCCAATGGGATTTTGGCCTGCATCAATAGGAGCATAGTGTCTAGATCTAAGGAAGTAATGCTACCCCTCTATTCTGTTTTGGTTAGACCACACCTGGAATATTGTGTCCAGTTCTGGGCACCACAATTCAAGAGAGATATTGACAAGCTGGAATGTGTCCAGAGGAGGGCGACTCAAATGATCAAGGGTCTGGAAAACAAGCCCTATGAGGAGCGGCTTAAGGAGCTGGGCATGTTTAGCCTGAAGAAGAGAAGGCTGAGAGGAGATATGATAGCCATGGATCAATATGTGAGAGGAAGCCACAGGGAGGAGGAGGGAGCAAGCCTGTTTTCTGCTTCCTTGGAGGATAGGATGCGGAACAATGGCTCCAAACTACAAGAGAGGAGATTCCACCTGAACATGAGGAAGAACTTCCTGACTGTGAGAGCCGTTCAGCAGTGGAACTCTCTGCCCCAGAGTGTGGTGGAGGCTCCTTCTTTGGAAGCTTTTAAGCAGAGGCTGGATGGCCATCTGTCAGGGGTTCTTTGAATGCAATATTCCTGCTTCTTGGCAGAATGGGGTTGGACTGGATGATGGCCCATGAGGTCTCTTCCAACTCTAGGATTCTAGAATTCTATGAAATGACCAGCCACTGCCTGAAGGGACAGAGAGCTTCATCTATGCTGACGATCGTGCCATTACCGCTCAAGCAGGGAGCTTTGAGATGGTGGAACAGAAGCTCTCCGAAGCTCTAGGTGCTCTTACTGCCTATTACAGGGAAAACCAGCTGATCCCTAACCCATCTAAAACACAGACATGTGCCTTTCACCTCAAGAACAGACAAGCATCCCGAGTTCTGAGGACTATTACCTGGGAAGGAATCCCACTGGAGCATTGCAGCGCACCCAAATACCTGGGAGTTACTCTGGACCGTGCTCTGATCTATAAGAAGCACTGCCTGAATATCAAGCATATCAAGAATATCAAGCAAAAAGTGGGCTCTAGAAACAATATCATACGAAAGCTGACTAGCACAACCTGGGGATCACAACCAGACACAATGAAGACATCTGGCCTTGCGCTGTGCTATTCTGCTGCTGAGTACGCATGCCCAGTGTGGAACACATCTCACCACACTAAAACAGTGGGTGTGGCTCTTAATGAGACATGCCGCATTATCACGGGGTGTCTGCGCCCTACACCACTGGAGAAATTACACTGCTTAGCCAGTTTTGCACCACCTGACATCCGCCGGGAAGTAAGCAGCCAGTAGTGAAAGGACCAAGGCAGAGACATCTCCAGCTCACCCCCTGTTTGGGTATCAGCCAGCACGTCAACGACTTAAATCAAGAAATAGTTTTCTAAGATCTACAGAGACACTCGCTGGAACACCCCAGCAAGCGAGAGTCCAAAAGTGGCAGACTTAAACCCAGAACCTCAATCAGTGGCTGATACCCAATGAGAGACTCCCCCCTGGGCACACACAAGACGGGGCGACTTGGAAGGCGCTGAACAGACTGCGCTCTGGCACCACGAGATGCAGAGGCAACCTCAAGAAATGGGGCCACAAAGTGGAATAATTCACGACATGCGAGTGGGGAGAAGAGCAAACCACTGACCACCTGCTGCAATGCACCCTGAGCCCTGCCACATGCACCAGGGAGGACCTCCTTGCGGCAACACCAGAGGCACTCCAAGGGGCCAGATACTGGTCAAAGGACATTTAATAGAATACCAAGTCTGCAAATTTTGTGTTTTGTCTGTTTGTTTGTTTGTTTTGTTCTGTTGGAAATGTAATACAATTGACTGGTTGCCCTGACATGACAAATAAATAAATAACTAGGAGTTGTTTGTACGTAACACTTGCCTTCCAAGGATTTGGTTTCAATGTGTCTTTCTCCTCCAGCTCAGGACTTCCTCCAGGCATTCATTCAGAGGAGACACCTCTATCCTTAGCTGATGCTGTTTTGGATGCATCTACCCAAATTGACTTGAGTCTCATGTGCCATCCCATCTATTTTTTTAATGTCAGGATAGACTTGAGAAACTGCAAGTCGCTTCTGGTATGGGAGAATTGGCTGTCTGCAAGGAGTGTGGAGAAGAGCAAACCACTGACCACCTGCTGCAATGCAACCTGATGCTGTTTTGGATGCATCTACCCAAATTGACTTGAGTCTCATGTGCCATCCCATCTATTTTTTTAATGTCAGGATATACTTGAGAAACTGCAAGTCGCTTCTGGTATGGGAGAATTGGCTGTCTGCAAGGAGTGCAGAGAAGAGCAAACCACTGACCACCTTCTGCAATGCACCCTGAGCCCTGCCACATGCACAATGGAGGACCTCCTTGCGGCAACACCAGAGGCACTCCAAGGGGCTAGATACTGGTCAAAGGACATTTAATAGAATACCAAGTCTGCAAATTTTGTGTTTTGTTTGTTTGTTTGTAAAAAAAAATGCAATACAACTGTTTGGTTTGCTCCTGACACGATAAATAAATCCAAACCCAAATAACGAAGGTGGAGGCATTACTTTTCATTCAACCCTCGTATTATTTGCATTTGGCGTTGGGTCATTTCCAAACTCCAAATGCCACCAGGGAACGTGGCAGCTGGGATTGACCAACACATCCTTCAAAATCCAGATAAGAGGGTTGTTCTTTCTATTTCGGGCCTGGTTTCTCAGCAGCTGCAAAAGACAAGAGCTAGTGATGGTGGGCTATAAAAGGCCAAGGATGGCCAGCCATTGGTCTATATCGACTACACCATGGAGCTCATCCTCTTCGCAATTCTTTTCGGCGCCGCAGGTAATGCCTTCCTCCTCTCCTCGACTTCACCATCCGTCAAACAATCCTTCAGACTAAGGGTGGGTCTTACTTTACTTAGGCGATCCCTCGTTGGACGAGTAAGATGGTCTTCCATGATGGGTTTCCTTGTGTATTCGTAGGTGGCTATGGAGCCCTCTTCTTGACCCGCATTTTCTTCCGCAGTGTGGGCATTGGTTTCCAGGTGGAAGGCGGTCCCGGTCGGGGTTGGCTTGATGCGCCTTCCTCCTGGCACGTTTCTCTCTCTCACCCTCCACTCGTGCCTCCTCGAATTCTGTAGCATTGCTGGACACAGCTGACCTCCAGTTGGAGTGCTCAAGGGCCAGGGCTTCCCAGTTCTCAGTGTCTATGCCAGAGTTTTTAAAGTTGGATTTGAGGCCATCTTTAAATCTCTTTTCCTGTCCACCAACACTCCGTTTTCCGTTCTTGAGTTCAGAGTAGAGCAACTGCTTTGGGAGATGGGGGTCGGGCATCCGGACAACGTGGCCGGTCCAGCGGAGTTGATGGCAGAGGACCATCGCTTCAATGCTGGTGGTCTTGGCTTCTTCCAGCATGCTGACGTTTGTCCGCTTGTCTTCCCAAGAGATTTGCAGGATTTTCCGGAGGCAGTGCTGATGGAATCATTCCAGGAGTTGCATGTGACGTCTGTAGACAGTCCACGTTTCGCAGGCATAGAGCAGGGTTGGGAGGACAATAGCTTTATAGACAAGCCCCTTGGTCTCCCTACGGACGTCCCGGTCCTCAAACACTCTCTGCTTCATTCTGGAAAATGCTGCACTCGCAGAGCTCAGGCGGTGTTGTATTTCAGTGTCAGTGTTGACATCTGTAGACAGTCCACGTTTCGCAGGCATAGAGCAGGGTTGGGAGGGGAATAGCTTTATAGACAAGTACCTTGGTCTCCCTACGGATGTCCCGGTCCTCAAACACTCTCTGCTTCATTCGGAAAAATGCTGCACTCGCAGAGCTCAGGCGGTGTTGTATTTCGGTGTCGATGTTGACTTTGGTGGAGAGGTGGCTGCCAAGGGAGCGGAAATGATCCACATTTTCTAATGTTACACCATTAAGCTGTATCGCTGGCATTGGAGAGGGATTGGCTGGTGACTGCTGGAACAGCACTTTGGTTTTCTTGATGTTCAATGACAGGCCGAGCTTCTCGTATGCTTCTGCGAAGGTGTTTAGAGTGGCTTGTAGATCTTCTTCTGAATGCGCACAGACGACATTGTCATCAGCATACTGGAGTTCTGTAACAGATGTTGTTGTAACCTTGGTTTTGGCTTTCATTTAGTCTGCTGAGGTTAAACAGCTTGCCATCTGTCCGAGAGATGATTTCCACTCCGGTGGGAAGCTTCCCATCAACAAGGTGAAGTCTCATAGCGATGAAGATGGAGAATAGAGTTGGGGCAATAACACATCATCCCTGTTTGACACCTGATTCCACCTTAAATGGGTCACTTTGGGAGCCATTGCTGTCCAATACTGTTGCCATCATGTCATCAAGGGTGGGTCTACAGTGAGAGTTAGGGTGGGTCTACACTGAGAGTTAATGTAGTTTGAAACCAGTTTAGTCCCATGCTATGGAATCCTAAGAGTTGTAGCTCACACTACAACTTAAGAACGCTTAAGAACTTGAGAAAAAAAATATTATTATTATTATTATTATTATTATTATTATTATTATTATTAATCTCTCCAAAGGGGACTCACTTGGATCCAGCATAGTTAAAGTGGGGTCAAACTGCATTAATTCTACAGTGTAGGTGCGCCCTTAACCAAGTCAATTAGCAAGTGAATTCTGGGCATTGTAAGACTATGGGTTTCGTTCTGATTTTGGAATATCCTTAACTCTTTAAATGCCTTTAAACCTTGCAATATAGGACCCAAGTCTAAGCATGACATCCATGCATCTTTGATAGACCCCCTCATACACAATCTTAGCAATAATTTGGGGGCATAAAACTGGGTTTGTGCCAGTTGGACAATTAGGAATCAAAGGAGTCACTCCCTCAGCCATTTAGGAATTCCAGATGTGTTAAGAGTCCACTTGGATTCACACATCAATCCCAAAAGAATCATAGTATTAGAAGGGAGCCCCAAAGGCCATCTTTGTCCTCCAGGCTTCTCCGTACAGCACCAATCGAGACCTGGAGGGCGGGGAGGCGGAGTTGCGGTAGTCTATAAAAATTCAATCCCCCTGACCAGAGGCCCCATCCCGCAGTCAACTAATTTTGAATGTGTCTACCTGAGGGTGGGTGACCGGGACAGAATAGGGATTCTGTTAGTGTACCGCCCACCTCGCTGCACTACAGTCTCCCTACCTGAGCTAGCAGGGGTGGTCTCGAGCCTGGCATTGGAGTCCCAACGGCTTCTTGTGCTGGGGGACTTCAATGTACATGCCGAGACTACCCTAGGAGGAGCGGCTCAGGACTTCATGTCTTCCATGGCAACCATGGGGCTGTCCCAACGAGTATCTGGCCCCACACACAGTGCTGGACACACATTGGATCTGGTTTTCTGCCAGGGATGGGAGCAAGGTGGCGGTGTTGAGGAGTTGTCCATCTCTCCGTTGCCATGGACCGACCACTATCTGGTCAGCTTTAGACTCACTGCACCTCCCAACCTCTGCAGAGGTGGGGGACCCATTAAGTTGGTCCGCCCCAGGAGGCTAATGGATCCGAATGGATTCCTGACGGCTCTTGGGGATTTCCCCGCCACCTCGGTTGGTGATTCTGTTGATGCCCTGGTATCCCTCTGGAACGGGGGAATGACTAGGGCAATAAACACGATTGCTCCAGAACGTCCCCTCTCAAGTAGCCGAGCTAAACCAGCGCCTTGGTTCAACGAGGAACTGGCAGCGATGAAGCGAAGTAAGAGGAGACTAGAGCACGTGTGGCGTTCGGACCCGAGCGAGTTAAATCGAACACGGTATATCGCCTTTCTCAGGGCATATGCCGCGGCAATAAAGGCAGCAAAGAAATCTTTCTTTGCTGCCAATATTGCATCCTCAAAGAACCGTCCAGCTGAGCTGTTTCGAGTTGTCAGAGGTCTATTAAATCCCACCACTCTGGATGGGAACCCTGACAACTCGATGGCCCGCTGTGAAGCATTTGCTCGGTTCTTTGCGGACAAAGTCGCTTTGATCCGTTCTGACCTGGACACCATGTTAACGGCAGTCTCAGAGGATGTAACACGAGCATCTGCTTATCCGATTTTGTTGGATTCATTTCAATTGGTGAAACCTGAGGATGTGGACAAGATACTTGGAGGAATGAGGGCAACCACATGCATCCTAGACCCCTGCCCATCCTGGCTTCTAAAGGAGGCCAGAGGGGGATTGGCCGAGTGGGTGAAGGTGGTGGTTAATGCCTCCCTTCGGGAAGGCAAAATTCCAGCCAGCTTAAAACAAGCTGTGATAAAACCGCTGTTGAAAAAACCATCACTGGATCCCACTCAATTCGTCAACTATCGGCCTGTTTCCAATCTTCCCTTTTTGGGCAAAGTCCTGGAACGTGTGGTGGCCTCACAACTCCAGGTATTCTTGGTAGACACGGATTATCTAGATCCGGCACAGTCTGGCTTTAGGCCGGGACATGGTACCGAGACAGCCTTGGTCGCCTTAGTGGATGATCTGCGCTGGGAGCTCGACAGGGGGAGTGTGTCCCTGTTGGTTCTGCTGGACCTCTCAGCGGCCTTCGATACCGTTGACCACGGTATCCTTCTGGGACGCCTCGCGGGAATGGGCCTTGGTGGCACTGCTCTGCAGTGGCTCAGGTCCTTCCTAGAGGATCGTACTCAGAAGGTGTTGCTGGGGGACAACTGCTCTACCTCACAACCATTGTCTTGTGGGGTCCCGCAGGGCTCAATATTGTCCCCCATGTTATTTAACATCTACATGAAGCCGTTGGGAGAGATCATCCGGAGTTTCGGGGTGCGGTGTTATCTGTACGCAGATGATGTCCAACTCTGTCACTCCTTTCCACCTACTACTAAGGAGGCTGTTCAGGTCCTGAACCGGTGCTTGGCCGCTGTGTCGGACTGGATGAGGGCGAACAAATTGAAACTGAATCCAGACAAGACAGAGGCACTCCTGGTCAGTCGAAAGGCCGAACAGGGTATAGGGTTAAAGCCTGTGTTAGACGGGGTTACACTCCCCCTGAAGACGCAGGTTCGCAGCTTGGGTGTGATCCTGGACTCTTCGCTAAGCTTGGAACCCCAAGTTTCGGCGGTGTCCAGGGGAGCATTTGCACAACTAAACTTGTGCGCCAGTTGCGCCCGTACCTTGGGAAGTCTGACTTGGCCATGGTAGTCCACGCTCTGGTTACATCCCGTATTGATTACTGCAACGCGCTCTACATGGGGTTGCCCTTGAAGACTGCCTGGAAGCTTCAGATGGTCCAGCGCTCGGCAGCCAGGTTGCTAACGGGAGCGGCACTCAGGGAGCACACCACTCCTCTGTTGAGCCAGCTCCACTGGCTGCCAATCCGCTACCGGGCACAATTCAAGGTGCTGGCTTTAGCCTATAAAGCCCTAAACGGTTCTGGCCCCACTTACCTCTCCGAACGCATCTCCACCTATGAACCGACTAGAACATTAAGATCATCTGGGGAGGCCCTGCTCTCGGTCCCGCCTGCGTCACAGGCGCGCCTGGCGGGGACGAGAGACAGGGCCTTGTTGGTGGTGGCCCCTCGGCTATGGAATGCCTTACCGGTAGACATCAGACAGGCACCTTCGTTGCTGGCGTTTCGGAGAAAGGTCAAGACTTGGCTTTATGAACAAGCGTTTGGTTAAACAGTGCAACCGAACATAGGAAGACGGTAAATGGAACATAGGAATGGCACAAGGATTATGAGAACGGATCTGATTTCACTGAGGCGCTATGTTTTGATTTGTTAATTGTTGTTGATTGATGTTGTTGATCCTGTTGTTGCATTTGTTGCGTTTTTAATTGCACTGACATTGTTGTGATAACTTGTACCATGTAAACCGCATTGAGTTGCCTGTTTGGGCTGAAAAATGCGGTATAGAAATAAAGCAAATAAATAAATAAATAAATAAAAGGCAGGTCTTCGTTTTGCATTTTTTTACTTTTCTATTGCATGTAATGGGACCTGAGTATTCACACACTCAGGTCCCATTATGCAATGGATTAGTTTGGATGACCTTTGGGGGTCCCTTCGAACTCTAGTGGAATATAGACCGCCTGGTCGTCAAATAAGGTCTCCTTCCTTGGAGGTTTTCAAACAGAGGTTGGATGGCCATCTGGAAGAAGTGGTTGGACTAAATGGCCTTTGGGGGGTCCCTTCTAATGCTATGATTCTATGGAGGTTTTTAAGCAGAGACTAGATGGCCATCTGTTGGGATGGTTTGAATTGTGTGTCTCTCTATGGCAAAGAGGGGTTGGACTAGATGGCCTTTGGGGGTCCCTTCTAATACTATGATTCTATGGAGGTTTTTAAGCAGAGATTAGATGACTATCTGTTGGGAGGGCTTGGATTGTGTCTCTCCATATGGCAAAGAGGAGTTGGACTAGATGGCCTTTGGGGTTCCCTTCCAATGCTATGATTCTATGGAGGTTTTAAGGCAGAAGCTAGATAGCCATCTGTTTGGGATGGCTTGGATTGTGTCTCTCAAAATGGCAAAGAGGGGTTGGAATGGATGGCCTTTGAGGGTCCTTTCCAATGTTATGATTCTATGGAGGCTTTAAAGCAGAGACTAAATGGCCATCTGTTTGGGATGGCTCGGATGGTGTCTCTCTATATGGCAAAGAGGGGTTAGACGAGATGGCCTTAGGGGGTCCCTTCCAATGCTATGATTCTATGGAGGCTTTTAAGCAGAGACCAGATGGCTATCTGTTGGGAGAGCTTGGATTGTGTCACTCTGTATGGCAAAGAGGGGTTGGACTAGATGGCCTTTGGGGGTCCCTTCCAATACTATGATTCTATGGAGGTTTTTAAGCAGAGATTAGATGACTATCTGTTGGGAGAGCTTGGATTGCGTCTCTCTGTATGGCAGAAGGGGGTTGGACTGGATGGCCTTTGGGGATCCCTTCCAACTCCAACTCCCGTTTCCCTTCCTGCAGTGGCTGCACCCCAAAGAGGCTATGAAGACGATGATAAGATCATTGGGGGCTACGAATGCCCGGCTCACTCCCAGCCTTGGCAAGTCTTCCTCACTTACGGGGCCGGCTACCGATGGTGTGGCGCATCCTTGATCAATGACCGTTGGATCATTTCGGCCGCTCATTGCTACAAAAAGTGAGTACAAAACACTGCCAAGGTCACTCCCTTTCTTGACATCTTCAGAGCATGCACTGTTTTTGGAAAGACAACTAGGGTGCATCTATTTTATTTATTATTTATTTATTTGGGGTTCTTTTACCCCGCCCTTCTCACCCCGAAGGGGACTCAGGGCGGCTTACAAAGGCAAAGGCACAATTTGATGCCTGCATCATAAAACAATCATTCACAAAATTACATCAATTCACAGTTAACAACAATTCATGCATTATAACCATAAAATCACTAAAATCAATAAAACCAATACAAACCCAATTCCTCCTCTTACATGGTCAGCGTTCGCTAACTCATAGTTCTAGTTTTCCGTGCCACTTTATCAATCCTGTTGGTCTTACTCGCCTGATTGTCTTATTTAATTGCCAGCGTGCCCAAAGGCCTGGCACCATAACCACGTCTTCACCCTCCTCCTAAAGGCGAGGAGGGATGATGATGTCCTGATTTCCCCCGGGAGTGAGTTTCACAGGTGAGGGGCCACCACTGAGAAAGCCCTGCTCCTCGTCCCCACCAGCCTCACTTGTGACAATGGTGGGGTCGAGAGCAGGGCCTCCCCAGATGATCTCAGACTCCGGGGTGGGACGTAGAGGGAGATACGTTCGGACAGATACACTGGACCGGAACCGTACAGGGTTTTGTAGGTCAAAACCAGCACCTTGAATTGTGCTCAGAACTGAATCGGCAGCCAGTGGAGCTGGCACAGCAGGGGGGTGGTATGCTCCCTGTATGTCGCTCCGGTGAGCAGTCTGGTTGCTGCTCGCTGGACTAGTTGAAGTTTCCGAACAGTCTTCAAGGGCAACCCCACGTAGAGAGCGTTGCAGTAGTCTATTCGGGATGCAACAAGAGCGTGGACCACCGTGGCCAGATCAGACTACACTGGGGAATGAATGCAGTTTGATACCACTTGGACTGCCATGGCTTAATGCAATGGAATCTTGGGAGTTGTAGTTTGGGGAAGTCTCAAAACCTGGTAAATCTACAGCTTCCAGTCATGGCATTGAGTCATGGCAGTTCAAAGGGTGTCAAACTACATTCGTTTGACAGTGTAGAATGATGCACCCTAGAAAAGCCATTCCTGTGTTATTTATTTATTTATTTATTTCACAGTTTTCTATACCGAGCTTCTCAACCTCATTGAGGGACTCAGCCCGGTTTCCAGCCATAAAAACAAACACTCATTAAAATATAATATATCACAGATTACAAAAACAACTTTAAAAACACGATATGTAAACACTACAGTGGTCAGTCGTCCTATTAAGATGGGTCTACATCAACTTCCATCCAGGGTCCTATGGTGTTATCTCATTCGTCGAAGGCCTGACTCCACAGCCACGCCTTCACCTGTTTCCTAAATGTCAGGATAGAAGGGGTGGTTCTGATCTCCAGTGGGAGAGAGTTCCAGAGTCGCGGGGCCACCACCGAGAAGGCCCTGTCCCTCGTCCCCACCAGGCGTGCTTGCGAGGCCGGTGGGACCGAGAGCAGGGCCTCTCCAGATGATCTTAATAATCTTGATGGTTTGTAGGGGAGCATACGTTCGGAGAGGTAAACAGGGCCGGAGTCGTTTATATCACATTTGCACTACTCTGCTTCATTGCACAAATGTGACATCACACACCTAAGTGCGTGTTCCATATCGTCACATGATGCACACCAATGCATGGTGCATAATGTAAGTCGCTCGGAGCACCTTGGTGGAGAGCGACTAATGAAGAAATAAAGTGATGATGATGATGATGATTATAATGGTGCACTAATAGGTACACAAGATGCACAAGATGCCAGTCACTGTTCATCTTCTTGTTCTTCTTCCCTTTTAGCCCTCGCACACTCGTTGCACACTTGGGTGAGCATGACACCAACAGCGAGGAGGGCACTGAGCAGCACATCCAGGTGGAGAAGGCCATCCCGCACCCCCAGTACAACTCCCGCAACATCGACAATGACTTCATGCTCATCAAGTTGGCCCAACCAGTCAGCTTCAATGCCTTTGTGCAACCCATTGACATTTCACCAACCTGCCCAATCGCTGGCACCCAATGCATCGTCTCCGGATGGGGCAATCTGCAGACAGCAGGCGGTAAGGGTAATTCCAAGACCCATCTACATTACCATAGAATGCAGTTTGAAACCGCATTATATGGTCAGTGTAGATCCAGACCCAGCCTGAGAGTATATTGTGATTAGAGGCAGATAGGAGTATGTTGTACTGCCTTTCGGGATAAGCAACGCCTTCCTTCCTTTGCTGTTGTGATCATATATCTTGCCAAGCACTGCTGGGCAAAAGATAGCAGCAAATTCTGTGCAGAAATCAATATTTTTCCCTTGAAATATTAATTTCCATCCAGAAAATGCAGTTCTCTGCAAAGGAAATGCTGTAATTGGGGTTTGAATCTGCAAAATTCAGACCTGGATGGCTGATTTAGAAAAATAGGCCTTTTCTGCACATGGGGTTAATCTATATAAATAAAAATGTAATGTTCATTTGTGGGATTAACAGAACTCAAAAACCACTGGACAAATTGACCCCAAATTTGGCTACAAGACATCTACTAACCAAAGGAGTGACCATCACTCAAAAATTGATTTTGTCATTTATGAGTTGTAGTTGCTGGGATGTATAGTTCACTTACAATCAAATAGCATTCTGAATTCCACCAATGATGGAATTGAACCATATGTGGCACACAGGACTCCCATGACCAACAGAAAGCACTAGAAGGGTTTGGTGGGCATTAACCTTGAGTTTTGGAGTTGTAGTTCACCTATATCTAGAGAGCACTGTGAACTCAAACAATGATGGATCTGGACCAAACTTGGCATGAATATTCCATATGCCCAAATATGAACACAGATGGAATTTGGGGGAAATAGACATTGACATTTGGGAGTTGTAGTTACTGGGATTTATAGTTCACCTACAATCAAAGAGCATGCTGAACCCCACCAACGACAGAATTGGGGCAAACTTCCCACACAGAACCCCCACACTTAAGGCCATCCAGTCCAACTTCCTTCACCAGGGTAAGAAAACGTAATCAAAGCCCTCCTGACAAAGAGCCATCCAGCCATAGATATAGATAGATCTGATTCACACACAGAGAGATATAGTATCATAGATTTGAAAGGGACCCCCAAGGAAGGACAATGATATGTTGCATGTTCCAGAGTAGGCACACCATGCAATCTCCACATCAACACTGACAAAGAAACAGCAAGAAATACTGTTTACCCACAAGCAGAAAGACATTACATAGATTAGAAACCAACGCTTTCTCATTACTTTATTATCCACATCACTAGACTGGGCCACAGCAACGCATGGCAGGGGACAGCTAGTATTTAAATAATTACTTAATATTTAAATATTATGCATCATAATAACTACTTAAATGTTAATTGATTATCTGAATATTTAATATTAAAATATTAAGTCAATTAATAGTTAAGTTAATTAATATTTACATAATTAATATTTATTTAATTAGTGTTCAATTAAATAATTAATATTTACATATTTGATTGTGGTGAATCAAATATGTAAATATTAATTATTTAATTGAACACTAATTAAATAAATAATAATTATGTAAATATTAATTAAATAGTAATTACAAGGAAATATTATTTTCTATTCAGACAAATGCTGTTTCTGGCACAAAACAACCGTGGGTTAATTTTCTCCCCAGTTGCAAATAGCTTTCAAAAATTTTGTGGTTTTCAAAGAATTTCTTGCGTGGGGAAAGAAATGGCTGAAATTATTGTCTGTCGCCTTTGAGAAGGAACTTAATTAAGGATTACTTGATAAAAGATTATTTCCTGGCTCTAGAAGTCCCAGCTGCTTTAGGAAAATAGAGGTGGAGGGATGGATGTTTGAAGCATTATGCACCAGGAACAAATTCCAGGGATTTGGCCAATCTAAGTTTGATTTTTGTCTTTGAAATCTTTGCTTGAGCTGGGTCCTTCTTCCTTCCAGTTGAGTATCCGGATGCCTTGCAATGCCTGGATGTGCCCATCCTATCGGAGTCCACCTGTCATGCCGCCTATCCAGGACGCATCACTTCGAACATGTTCTGCGCCGGATACACCGAAGGTGGCAAAGACTCCTGCCAGGTAAGGAGAAACTAGGTGAACGGGGACAAATGGCTAGAAACGAAAGGCTTAGTCCTTCCAAAGGCCCATCCAATAGGGCCATAGCATCTTAGAGCTGTGAGGCGTGTATGCAGAACCATACACGAAGTTTGGCCTGTCACTGAACATCGAGAAAACCAAAGTGCTGTTCCAGCAGTCACCAGCCATCCCATCCCCAATGCCAGAGATACAGCTTAATGGTGTAATATTAGAAAATGTGGACCATTTCCGCTCTCTTGGCAGCCACCTCTCCACCAAAGTCAACATTGACACTGAAATACAACACCGCCTGAGCTCTGCGAGTGCAGCATTTTCCCGAATGAAGTAGAGAGTGTTTGAGGACCAGGACATCCGTAGGGATACCAAGGTGCTTGTCTATAGAGCTATTGTCCTCCCAACCCTGCTCTATGCCTGCGAAACCTGGACTGTCTACAGACGTCACATGCAACTCCTGGAACGATTCCATTAGTGCTGCCTCCAGAAAATCCTGCAAATCTCTTGGGAAGACAAGCAGACAAATGTCAGTGTGCTGGAAAAAGCAAAGACCACCAGCATTGAAGCGATGGTTCTCTGCCATCAACTCCGCTGGGCCGGCCACGTTGTCTGGATGCCTGACCACCGTCTCCCAAAGCAGTTGCTCTACTCTACACTTAAGAACGGAAAACGGAACGTTGGTGGACAGGAAAAGAGATTTCAAGATGGCCTCAAAGCCAACCTTAAAAACTCTGGCATAGACACTGAGAACTGGGAAGCCCTGGCCCTTGAGCGCTCCAGCTGGAGGTCAGCTGTGACCAGCAGTGCTGCAGAATTCGAGGAGGCACGAGTGGAGGGTGAAAGAGAGAAACGTGCCAGGAGGAAGGCGCGTCAAGCCAACCCCGACCGGGACCGCCTTCCACCTGGAAACCAATGCCTTCACTGTGGGAGAAGATGCGGGTCAAGAAGAGGGCTCCACAGCCACCTACGAATCCACAAGGAAACCCATCATGGAAGACCATCTTACTTGTCCAACGAGGGATCGCCTAAGTAAGTAAGTAAGTAAGTAAGTAAGTAAGAGGGTCCCCCAAAGAGCATCTAGCCCAACCTTATTGTGACAATCCAAGGCTGAGTCCTAGCAACGCTTCCAATTACAGGCATTTCAAATGAGGAATTGCAGAGTTTGAAGGGACCCCAAAGGCAATCCAGCCTGGCTCCGTTCTGCCATGCAGGAAGACATAATCCAAGGGCACCCAAAGGCCATCTCATCCCACCCCATTCTACCAGGCCAGAAGACCCAACCAAAGCACTCCCCAAAGTTGCCCACAGAAGAAAAGTCCATCCACTGCCCAACATTTCTTAGACTCACCTTCCTAATATTTGGTTGACAAATGCTTTTCTTTGTGGTCTCCTTGGATGATTGAAAAAAAGGTGACTTTTCCCAATCGAATTCATCATTTGTTTGTTTTCCATCTATTTATTCCACAGTAAGAGGCAAAGCAAAGCATTAAGCATTCAAGGCCAATGCTAGATACGGACAATAGCACCATGTCATCTGCGTATAAGAGTAAGGGAACATGTGTAGAATGGAGGCCTGGCTCGACAACAGTTCATGTGAAAAAGATCTTGGAGTCTTTGTGGACAAGTTGAACATGAGCCAAGAGTGTGATGCAGCAGCTCAAAAAGTCCAATGGGATTTTGGGCTGCATCAAAAGGAGTGTCTAGATCAGTGGTTCTCAACCTTCCTAATGCCATGACTCCTTAGTACAGTTCTTCATGTTGTGGTGACCCCCAACCATAACATTATTTTCGTTACTACTTCATAACTGTCATTTTGCTCCCATCATGAATCGTCATGTAAATACCTGATATGTAGGATGTATTTTCATTCACTGGGCCAAATTTGACACAAATACCCAATATGCCCAAATCTGAATACTGGTGGGATCGGGGAAGGGGGAGTCATTTTGTCATTTGGGAGTTGTAGTTCACCTACATCCAGAGAGCACTGTGGACTCTAACAATGATGGATCTGGACCAACTTGGCATGAATACTCAGTATGCCCAAATGTGAATACTGCTTGGGAAAAATCGACCTTGACATTTGGGAGTTGTGGTTACTGGGATTTATAGTTAACCTACAATCAAAGAGGAATCTGAACTCAACTAACAATGGAATTGATCCAAACTTGGCACACAGAACTTCCATGGCCAACAGAAAATACTGAAAGGGTGTGGTGGGCACTGACCTTGAGTTTGGGAGTTGTAGTTCACCTACCTCCAGAGAGCACTGTGGACTCTAACAATGATGGATCTGGACCAAACTTAACATGAATACTCAATATGCCCAAATGTGAACAGTGGTGGATCTTGGAGAAAATATACCTTGACATTTGGGAGTTGTAGTTGCTGGGATTTATAGTTCACGTACAATCAAAGAGCCTTCTAAATGATAGAATTATGTCAAACTTCCCACACAGAACTCCCATAACCAATGGAAAATATTGGAGGGATTTGGGATGAATTGGCAGTGATTTAGGGATCCAGAGAGCACTGTGAACCCAAACAACTATGCTAAAGGGGTTCCGAAGACCATCAGAAATATGTGTTTTCTGATGGTCTTCAGTGACCCCTCTGAATTCCCTTCACAACCCCCCCAGGGGTCCCGACCCCCAGGTTGAGAAACACTGGTCTAGATCGAGGGAAGTCATGGTGCTTTTGTATTCTGCTTTGGTCAGACCTAATAATAATAATAATAATAATAATAATAATAATAATAATAATAATCTTTATTTATACCCTGCCTCCATCTTCCCCAAGGGGACTTGGGGCGGCTTACATAAGGTCATGCCCATCAATACAGTAAAACACAATATAAACACAAAAACACAACAGAAAAATCAGAAAATAAATTGCATAGAATGCAAAACCAATATCAATAAGTGACACAGCAGCATAAAATCCAACATTAAAACACAAATGATCACACTGGGCAGGGCCAAATTCAAAGATAAAATTTCATGTCCATGGTTTCAGGACTTTGTCATGTTTTCATGGGACTTTTCTTTGAATCTTCCTTTCAAGTGTTACCTTGTTTTGATCTTTGAAACATTACGTTGGCTTTTATCTTTTACTTTTAATAAACCAAAAAGACTACAGGCTGTGTGCTGTTTGGTGTCTGTTTGGTGATTCTACTCTGAGGTGCGAGAGCAGGCCAAAATCCCATTGGCTTTTTTAGCTGGATGGCTGGATGGCCATCTGTCAGGGGTGATTTGATTATGATTTCCTGCATGAAGGCAGAATAGGGTTGGACTAGATCAGTGTTTCTCAACCTTCCTAATGCCGTGACCCCTTATTACAGTTCCCCATGTTGTGGTGACCCCCAACCATCCAATTATTTTTGTTGCTACTTCATAACTGCAATTTTGCTATTGTTATGAATCGTAATGTAAACATCTGAGATGCAGGATGTATTTTCATTCACTGGACTAAACTTGGCACATATACCCAATATGCCCAAATTTGACTACTGGCGGGGTTGGAGGGGTTGATTTTGTCATTTGGGATTTGTAGTTGCTAGGATTTAGAGTTAACCTACAATCAAATAGCATTCTGAACTCCACCTATGATGGAATTGAGCCAAACTTGGCACACAGAACTCCCATGACCATCAAAAAATACTGGAATGTTTTGGTGGGCAGTGACCTTGAGTTTTGGAGTTGTAGTTCACTTACATCCAGAGAACACTGTGGACTCAAACAATGATGGATCGGGACCTAACTTGGCATGAATATTCAATATGCCCAAATGTGAACACTGGTAGAGTTTGGGGAAAATAGACCTTGATATTTGGAAGTTGTAGTTGTTGGGATTTATAGTTCACCTACAATCAAAGCACATTCTGAACCCCACCAATGACAGAATTGGGCCAAACTTCTCACACAAGACTCCCATGACTAATAGAAAATACTGTTTTCTGATGGTCTTTGGCGACCCCTCTGACACCCCCTTGCGACCCCCCTAGGGGTCCCGACCCCCAGGTTGAGAAACACTGGACTAGATGGTTCATGGGGTCTCTTCCAACTATGATTCTATGACTAGGACCATTCACCAACACTAAAGCTGGCTGGTTGATTTGTTTTGCCACCGACGTCTTGATTCATTCTGTTCTCCTTCGGGTTTATTTACATTGTAAAATGAGGACAGCTTGGCACCACTTGCACTGAGTTGGCTCAATGCTACGCAGTCCTGGGACTTGTAGTTCAATGAGGTCTTTAGCCTGCCAAAGAGGACAAGCTAAAGCTCCAAGGATTCCCTAGCTTTGAGCCATGGAGGTTCAAGTAGGGTCAATGCAGCTGAAGACTTCCAAGGTGACGCAGAAGCACGGATCATGTTGTTTTGCTTGAATTGCAGGGAGACTCCGGAGGACCGTTGGTGTGCAATGGAAAACTGACCGGCGTGGTGTCCTGGGGCATCGGATGTGCCCAGAAAGGCTACCCCGGCGTGTACACTCCAGTGTGCAACTACAAAGCCTGGATAGAGGAAGTGCTGGCCAACAACTGAGGTTAACATCGTCGGGGTTTCAAGGCACCCCATTTTCCCCAAGAGAAAGACCCATTTCGCTGGAAAGAAACAAAGCTCTCATTGAAAATAAAGAAGGGGAAAGTGTATGTGTTTGTGTGTATGCATTACTGGATGCATCCCTCCTGTAGAATGAATGCAGCTTGGCACTGCTTGGCCTGCCACGGCTCAGAGCTGTGGAATCCTGGGAGTTATAGTTTTTCAAGGTCTTTCCATTCTCTGGGTGACATCTCCATTGTCCCTGGTTGTTGCACTCTAGAACAGGAAATAGCCCCTCTGACTAAAACACACCACAGGTTGAGTGAAGGAACAATCCTTTTTATTAAAGACTAGCTTGGGTACCCGGCGCTGCCCGGGTTATTTGATAAAGGCATTGTGTGGCAAAGGTGTTCTTTATCAGTTATCAGTTAGTGAAGGTACTGCAAATCCCATCGTGCAAGGTCCATCCTCCTCCAAACAGCCCCTGGATGTAGAATGGGTTATGGTGGCTCTGTGTGCCAAGTTCGATCTTGCTCTGTCATTGGTGAGGGTCACAGTGATCTCATGAAGTGTGTGAAGGTACTTTAGGTCCCATCATCCATGGTGAATCCTCCTTCATACCACAACAGGATGTAGAGTGGATCATGGGGACTCTGTGTGCCAAGTTTTGTCTGGATCCGTCATTGGATAAGGGTCACAATGGTCTCAGAAAGTGAGTTAAGGTACTGCAAGTCCCATCATCCATAGGCCATCCTCCCTAAACTGCACCAGGATGTAGAGTGGGTCATGGGGTCTCTATGTGCCAAGTTTGGTTTTTATCAGTCTTTGTTGGGGGCCGCAGTGTTCTGTGGAAACCGAAGGGTTGGAAAGTACTACACATCCCATCATCCATTGTCTGTCCTCCCCCAAACCTCACCAGGAACTAAAGGGGGTCATGGGGGTTATGTGTGCCAAGTTTGGTCTTGATCAGTCATTGGATGAGGGTCGCAGCTGTCTCAGGAAATGAGTGGAGGTACTTGAAGTCCCATTATCCATGGTCTGCCCTCCTCCAAACTGCAGCAGAAAGTAGATTGGCCTACAATTCCCAGAAATCCTAACAGCTGGTAAACTGGCTGGGATTTCTGGGAGTTGTAGGCCAAAAACATCTGCGGACCCAAGGTTGAGAAGCATTGACAAGGCAATGATATCCAGACAGTAGTCAAACAAGAAGAAAAAACAGAACAGATGCTAATAGTCACCTGGAAAGGCTAGAAAAATCCATGAAGACAAGACCACTTGAGCAGGAATTCCATGAAGCTTATGCTAAATTTCCAAACGATGCCTGATCTGACAAGATTTTCTACAGGCAAACCTTAAATCCCAAAAACCGGTTTTGTTTTTCCCCAGTCTTTGACTTTAATTGACGAATTCTTTCTGATCTACGTAAGCCAGTGGTTCTCAACCTTCCTAATGCTGCGACCCCTTAATCCAGTTCCTCATGTTGTGGTGACCCCCAACCATAAAATTATTTCCATTGCTACTTCATAACTGTAATTTTGCAACTGTTGTGTATGTCAAATGAATATCTGATATGCAGGATATATTTTCATTCACTGGACCAAATTTGGCACAAATACCTGATATGCCCAAATTTGCATACTTTGGGGGGATTGATTTTGTCATTTGGGAGTTGTAGTTGCTGGGATTTATAGTTCACCTACAATCAAAGAGCATTCTGGACTCCACCAAAGATGGAATCGAACCAAACTTGGCACACAGAACTCCCATGAACAAGAGAAAATACTGGAAGGGTTTGGTGGGCACAAACCTTGAGTTTTGGAGTTGTAGTTCACCTACATCCAGAGAGCACTGTGGACTCAAACAATGATATATCTGGACCAAACTTGGCACAAATACTCAATATGCCCAAATGTGAACACTAGTAGAGTTTGGGGAAAATAGGCCTTGAGATTTGGGAGTTGTAGTTGCTGGGATGTATAGTTCATGTGCTGTCGCACGCTGGTCCTGTGCATCAGACTGTAGACAGGACATAAATTATGTGTGCCCAACGGGATGCCAGGGCTGCCTCAGATTAAAGACCCTTGGATTCCCCCAAACAGAGTCTTTAGATTGCTTAAATGTTCAACAACGTTCTTTATTAATGAAAACAAACAGGTACTTTAAAGCTTTCTTAGCAGTCTATTGGCTCTTGCAATCTTGTTCACTGGGAACAGGCACTATCTTCATAACTATATACTAACTAATGGGGAAATCCTTAACTTCGAATCTGGGCAGTCTGTAAGCAATCTAAAGACTCTGTTTGGGGGAATCCAAGGGCCTTTAATCTGAGGCAGCCCCAGCGTCCCGTTGGGCACACAGAATTTATGTCCTGTCTATAGTCTTATGCACAGGCCCAGCATGCGACAGCACATGAACTATACATCCCAGCAACCACATCTCCCAAATGTCAAGGCCTATTTTTCCCAAACTCTACTAGTGTTCACATTTGGGCATATTGAGTTTTTGTGCCAAGTTTGGTGTGCCTCTGTTGGCGTGGAGCCCCTGCACCTGGTACCAACTGCTTCTGGCTTCCGCGAGCGACCCTTACCAAGCAGAGCTTTGTAGACTTCCAGGGGAAAAGAAGGAGTTCAGGTTTCAGTGATGGCTGGCTGAAGTCCCTCAGCGAAGGAGCTGTAAGGCTGTATGATCCCCGGCCAAGCTGTGGGCTGGATAACCCCGGCCAAGCTGTAGGCTGTATATCTCCCTGGCCAAGCTGTAGAAGACAAAGCTTTCTACAGGAGCTCTTGGTTTCATGTCCTGTATAGAAAGCTGCTCTATGTGGACTGAACTCAAAAAGGCTCCTATTCCCTCCAAAAACCCAAGGGGGGACGGGACGGGACCAGGGAACCTAACTATAATTGACAGGTGGCTTGCCCTATGATTGCAAACTATAACAGGAAGCCACCCTGCTGCAAAATCCCAAGCCTGGGATTGCAAACAAACATTTATTGCAAAGCAAACAAAATTGGAGCTCCTGGGACAGCTGTACCAGCACAGTTCACCTACAATCAAAGAATATTCTGAACCTCACCAATGATAGAATTGGGCCAGACTTCCCATATAGAACCCTCATGACCAACAGAAAATACTGTGCTTTCTGATGGTCTTTGGCGACCCCTCTGACATCCTCTTGTGACCCCCCTCGGGGTCCCGACCCCCAGGTTGAGAACCACTGATGTAAATATTGGGCCTCTTGTTGATTCTGGCCAATCTCCAGCCCCCGACTCTGCTTATCTGATTCCACATTAACTTTCCCAGGTGCCCGACTGTTTTCCAAACTAGAACCTTCCTCCCACAGCTTGACCGAAACATTCTCATGAGAATCTGCCCTTTGCACCAAAGCCTCTCTGTCAGTGTTTGCATGAAACCTATTGACCAAAGTGTCTCCATCTTGCACCACAGAGTCAGGCCCACAATCACAGGTTCAGGTTCAATCACAGGCTGAGTCCCAACACCGGTGCTGCAATGGGTTAAACACTTGTGTTCGCAGGACTGCTGACTGAAAGGTCGGTGGTTTGAATCCAGGGAGTGGGGTGAGCTCCCATGTGTCAGCTCCAGCTTCCCATGTGGGGGATATGAAACAAGCCTTCCATTGGATGGTAAAACATCTGTGTGTCCTCTGGGCAACGTCCTTGCAGATGGCCAATTCTCTCACACCAGAAGCAACTTGCAGTTTCTCAACTCACTCCTGACACACACACGCAAATTCTCCCTTGTCAAATGAATGTAGTTTGATGCCACTTCCAAAGCTAAATTATTTGGAATTACATGCTTGCAAGTCTGGAATTTGTAGTTTGGTGCCTCAACAAACTACAAATCCCAGGATTCCATAGCATTGAGTCATGGCGATCAAAGTGTGTTCAAACTGCATTCATTCCACAATGAAGATGCGCCCAAAGGTGATACTGAACCATTGAAAATATATACTGGGCATTGTCACAAAACTACAACTCCCAGAAATTTGTCCTAGTATCCAGGGCAACAGAAAGGAAGCCTGCTCCCTCCTCTCTGTGACTTCCCCTCACATATTTATACATGGCTATCATCATGTCTCCTCTCAGCCTTCTCTTCTTCAGGCTAAACATGCCCAGCTCTTTCAGCCGCTCCTCATAGGGCTTGTTCTCCAGACCCTTGATCATTTAAGTCGCCCTTTTATGGACACATTCCAGCTTGTCAATATCTCCAGGCTTCTCTTCTGCAGGCTAAACATGACCAGCTCCTTAAGCCGCTCCTCATAGGGCTTGTTCTCCAGACCCTTGATCATTTTAGTCGCCCTTTTATGGACACATTCCAGCTTGTCAACATCTCTCTTCAGTTGTGGTGCCCATCAACATGGATGGAACCGAAGCCACGCTGCTTGAAGCCACTGCCTCAAAACCACAAGGTCCCGTCCAGGCAAAGTTGCAAGATGGGCAAACCCTTTTTTGCAAGAGAAACGCTTGCGTGCATGCAAAGGCATGCCTCTCCCCAAGACAGGAAACCACCGTCAAGGTAATTCCAGTAAGCGTGACACGTAGTGCAAGCCTTGGCTGTTTTGCAACTACCTGCCAAGCTGTTTGTCGCAAGGCTTTCTTCCCACGAATGCAATAAAGGCAGGAAAGCAGGGAGGGAGGTGGGCGGAAGGAGAAGAAGATACAGATGCAGCCTGATAGCATTGCACCAGCTGCGCCCATACCTTGGGAAGCCTGACTTGGCCACGGTGGTCCACGCTCTGGTTACATCCCGAATAGACTACTGCAACGCGCTCTACATGGGGTTGCCTTTGAAGACTGTTCGGAAATTTCAATTAGTCCAAACGGTGACAGCCAGGTTACTTACTGGAGCGACACACAGTGAAACTTCAACTCCCAAGATTCATTCCGCAGTGTATCACTGGTTCTCAACCTGTGGGTCCCCACATGTTTTGGCCTTCAACTCCCAGAATTCCTAATAGCTAGTAAACTAGCTAGGATTTCTGGGAGTTGTAGGCTAAAACACCTGGGGACCCACAGGTTGAGAACCACTGATGCACCCTTAGTGAAACTACAATTCCCAAGATTCATTCCACAGTGTAGAGATGCATCCTTACTGA